CTCTCTCTAATCTACAACTTTTCCAAGTTTACTGGCTTCTTTCCTTATTGCTTTCAAACATGCCCAAGTATCCCCCTTTTAAAGAACCTGTACTAGACCCCACCATTCTTTCAATCTATCTTCCTATCTCTCTCCTTTGTTTCTCAGTCCAACTCCTAGGAAAAGCTATTCACACTCATTTTCACCATGTTTTCTCACTTAATTTCTCAGTCTCATGCAATCTAGCTTCTGATTTCATCATTTGGTTGAAATTGCTCTCTCTAAAGTTACCAGTGGTCTCTTAGTTGCTGGATCAGATACACATATACATATATAGACATGTATATGTATACATACATTATATATATATATATATATCCAATCTTTTTTTTTTGCCAAATCTTGCCATTTGTATCTAGCCCCTTCTTTCTACTTTTTCAGCTGCCACTTTGGTTTAGGACCTCACCACCTCTCACCTAAACTATTGCAATGACACCCTAATTTGGTCTTCCTGCCTCTCCCTATTCCAATGCATCCTCCACACAGCTACCAGAATGATTTTCCTTAAATACAGATCTGCTCACATCATTCTTCTATTCAGCAAACTCAAGGGGTTCCCTATTGCCTTGGGGATAAAATGTAAACTCCTTTGTTGAGCTATTTTTTTTTTGGCAATTGGGGTTAAGTGACTTGTCCAGGGTCACACAGCTAGTAAGTATCTGAAGTCAGATCTGAACTCAGGAAGATGCATTTTCCTGCCTTCAGCCCCAGTACTCTATCTACTGGGCCACCTAGCTGCTCTCTCCTGAAACTTCTCCTGATCCTCATAAATGCTAATTGCTACCCATTAGCTACTTTGTACTTAACTGGTTTGTATTTATTTGTATTTATTCTCTATCTTTATTTTACATATACTTATCTACACATTTGCTGTTTTCCATGATAGAACATAAATTCTTTGAGAGTAGAAGTTGTTTCATTCTTTGCGTTTGTATCCTGAGCAGCTAGCACAGATAGGCACTTTGTGAATTATTAGTAATTAACTGATTGTCAGGAATTACAGTCAACCTTATTTGCTTCTGTTTTTTCCTTTTTTGAAAGCCAGGACATTCACCCGTTTCCAGTGCTGTGGTACTGGAGTCACATCAGTGACTTTCACCCTCATTTAGCCCATCTGCCGAGATGGTTTTACTGGGGTGTGGCCACTGCACATGCTACAGCTTTTTGGAGCCACAGGTGAGAGCTGAGTGCCATGTAGCCACCAAAGGTGGATGAGCAGCCCTGAGAAGGGCTCAGCAAGGAGGAGCTAGTTGTCCCTGAACAGCCCATGCACCCCATCTCCCATCACAGAGCAGGCTGGGAGATTTCCTGTGATGCCCAGGTACGGAGCAGAGGAGTATCTAGAGATTCCATCTTCTGTTGTTCCACCCACCTGAAGAAAATGAAAATGCAGACTACTGGATGAATGACTAAATGCCCTCAGGGGCTGATATGCAAGAAAAGGATCTCAGTGCTCTTTCACTTCAAGCTTGTGAGGACCAGAGCACATATTATCTTCATTTCATAGAAAGAAAGTTGAGAGATCAAATGACTTGCCCAGAGCCATACAAGCAATTAGAGTTCCTGTCCTGATCCCTGGAACTCCTTGTCCTTGTACTCTTTCTGCCCTTCATGTTCTCCAAAGGGAAATGTTTGAAATGTGACTTAGCTAAGAACTGGGGAGTACCAGGGCTGAGGTTACTATGGATGAATAAAATATTTATCAATCTCTCGCTAAGCTAGAGAAACAAATACAAACAAGATGATCCTCGCCTTCATTTCTCACATTTATGGGAAACTGAGCCAAATTTATAAAAATAAGAGCTATTCCCCAATTGATAAATGGTCAAAGGATGTGAATAGGCAGTTTTCAGAAGAAGAAATCAAAGCTATCAATAGTCACATGAAAAAATGCTCTGAGTCACTAATAATTAGAGAAATTAAAATGAAAATAACTCTGAGATACCACTTCAATGCCTATCGGATTGGTTGAGACAGAATGCTGGGAGGAATGTGGAAAAAATGGGACCCTAATGCACTGTTGGTGGAGTTTTGAACTGGTCCAACCACTCTGGAGGACAATTTGGAATTCTGACCAAAGGACTACAAAACTGTATACCCTTTGACAAGCAATGCCACTACTAAATATTTATCCCAAAGAGATCAAAGAAGAGGGAAAAGGACCTATATGTAGAAAAAAATATATTTATAGCAGCTCCTGTTGTGGTGGCAAAGGATTGGTAATTGAAGGGATGCCCATCATTTGGGGAATGGCTGAACAAGTTGTGGCATATAAATATAATGGAGTACTATCATGCCATGAGAAATGATGAGGGAGATGGTTTCAGAAAAACCTGGGAAGACATATATGAACTAATCAAAGTGAAGTGAGCAGAACCAGGAGAATATTGCACACAGTAACAGCAATATTGTAATGATTATCAATTGTGAAAGACTTGACTACTCTGATTAATACAACGATCCATGACAATTCCAAAGGACTCAAGATGAAAAAATGTTGTCCACCTCTAAAGATGTGATGAACTTGAAGTGAGATTGAGTCATTCCCTCCCCAACTTCATTTTTCTTTCTTCTTTTTTTAAACAACATGGCTAATGTGGAAATATGTTTTGTATGATGAAAAAAAGATAATCCCTATCTTCAAGGAATTTACGCTGTAATAGGGGAAAACCTCAAGGGGTGCTGGGAAGGCAAGAAGGGAGTGCAGTTTGGATGCGGTGCCCTGGAAATGAGGTGTAGTCCTCGTTCCAGGCAAAATGAGGCAAAAGCTCACTGTCAGAGCCCGGGGTGTGTCAGGGCAGAGCTAGGGGACGGGATGCAGGAGGAAGAGAGGAAGAGAAGGTGGTGAAGGCATCATGGTTTGGAGCTCATGGCCCATCTTACCTCCGGCACTGATCTCATCCTCTTTCCCCAACGCCATCCCATATTGGTCCTTGGCATCTTGCATAGTATGGCTTCACAAGCCTGGTCAGGACCAGTTTGCCACATTGAAAGGAAGCACTTGGAGAGGAGGTCTTAGGAGGGACACAGCATTGGAGGGAGTAAGGAATTAGCTATACCAAGGGGAAGGAATATCCCCCCTCCTCCCATATGGGCCCCTGGGTTTGAATCCTGCCTTTGCCATTTATGAACTGGGCAACCTTGGACAAGTCAGCTCTCTCTTGAGACCTCCTCCTCCTCCTCCTTTGCAAACTGGAGTTGGCAATACTTGCTTTACCTCACAAGGTTGTTGTGAGAAAAGCTTAGAGGGAGGAACATCTAAATTGATGGAGTCCCTCATGCCTTTAGAACAAGAAAAATGTCACAGTATGAGAAAATATATTTACCCAACTCAGGGTTAACATTTTACTTCATTGAATGCAGGGTTCCACAGCCCATGGACAGATTTCAGGGAGTCCATTAACTTGGATGGGAAAAAACTTACATCTTTGTTTTCAATATAATTGGTTTCCTTTTTAATCTTTAATCCTCTTTAATCTTTAATCTTATTTTGTGCGTTTGAAAACACTGTTCTGAGAAGGGGACCAAAGGCTTCACTGCCCTGCTAAGGGGGTGCAGAGCCATGACACACAAGAAAAAGTTAAGGACCTCTGACCCAATAGAACAAATCACACTCTGCCCCAAGAGACTCATTCCCCTAAAAATCACTCCATCCCTCTTTGACTACCCTCCCTTGCCCACAGCTAGACAGGATTTTAGTGGAGGGCATTATTTCCTGAGAACTTTGATTAAGTATTGATTAAATTTCCTTCCTTTGAGTAAGTCTGAGCAGGGTTTTAGACTAGAGAAATATTTATTTCTCAAAATTTTTAGTTGAACTAAAAAGGAGCTTTTAATCTGATTCCTTACAAGTGGGTGGGAGGCAGCCAGTGCCAAAACACAGACACCGGAATTATTTATTTTTTGTTCTCCTCCCTCCCAAAGAGCTTTCGTTTGAGTGGGTTATATCTATTGATATTGTATTAATAGCTAGCATTTACACAGAGCTTTCAAAATACCCTGGGATGTAAGGGTTATTATTAGCCCCATTCTATAGATGAGAAAACTGAGGTGGACAGAGTGACTTTCCCAGGATAACAGAGCTAGCAAGTGTCGAAGGCAGGATTTCTACATAGCAGTTTAGAAATGAAAACTTTTTTTTTGTTTTGACCTCAAGTTTTGAACTCAAGGACCCCTGAAAAGGTCTCCCAGACACCCAGACCACACTTTGAGATCCAATGATCTAGTTCCATCTTTTACAGATGAGGAAACTGAGAAAAGAGGCAGTTTGTTCAAATTCATACAGAAAGTCTTGAGCAGTGCTGGGATTCAAATCCAAATTAGGTAGAGGTCTTTACAATACATTAGGATGACGGCTCCCCAGGGCTGGGGACCATACCTGTCCCCTTTTCTGTGCTGGACCATGGCCTCTAGTGTGTAACAAATATTCAGCCTGGGTATGTGCTTAAGTGATCAGTGGCACTTTTGAGTGTGTAAGAAGACTCTGATGGAGGTATAGAGAGGCAGCTCCCCACCTCCACTCCCAATGGAATAAAGACTGGCCTAGGAGTTAAGAAACCTGGGTTCCAATGTTAGCTCTGCTAGGGACGTGATATGTGATCTTGGAGAATTCCTTGGGCCTTTGTTTCATCACTTTTATAAAGATCACTGTGCTGGGAGGGCTCTTATTATTCAACAGTGCACCCCACATTTAGGGTGGGACTTTGAAACTTGGAGCACTTGACCCGAACCTTCCCTCCCCTCCTTCACACTCCCCTCTCCCCGCCCCCAATCACAAAGACAAGCAGTTTTGCCAGGGATTCTGATGGGACGTTTTATGTTCGTTAGGAGTGGACAAGGCTTTGGCCAGCTCCCAAAGATCCATTCTTCCTCCACCACCCCATTATGTGAGCTGGGTGGGGTGTGCTGCAAGTGGAGGGGGCTTGGTTAAAGAGGAGCCCCACATCAGTAATCCCAGCCAGGGGTGTTGCTCTTTTTGGGGAGGGAGGGACTTCAGATTCTTTTAAATCCAGCTGCCAGACCCCTAGACTTGCTAGAGCTGGAGAGAGGGCAGGATGCAGAGCTCCCACTGCCTTCCAGCTGTGTTCCTCCTCTTCACAGCTGCCCAGCTGAGCTGTAGCCTAAATGATGAACAGAAGCAAATGGTGGTAAAGCTTCACAACTTGTATCGATCCCAGGTCTCCCCACCTGCGACCAACATGAAGAATCTGGTAAGCTGGGGAAGACCCTTCATCCACTTAGAAGGCAAAACTCCCAATGTGGGCTAAGCCCGGAAGGAGGCTCTGATGAGGGTGTGTGGTATTCTTCTTCCTGGAGGGGCTAGGGGCAGCAAGGTGCTGGGGGTACAATGCAATCAGAAGACCTAGTTCTTCGTGTATATAATTGATATCATGTTGCTTGCCTTCTCAGTGGGTATAGGAGGCGGTGGGTTGGAGGGAGAGAATTTGGAACTCAAAATTTAAAAAGAAAAAAATGGTAAAAATAAATAATAAATTAAAATGTTAAAAAACAAAAATAAAAGCTAGGTTTCAGCCTCAGCTCTGCTGCTTATTAGCTATGTGACCTTGACCTCAGTTACTTAACGTCACTGGGCCTGATTTTCCGGCTGTAAAGTGGGGATGAGACTCTTTGGCCTTGCCTACCTCACGGATGGAATCTGGAGTCAGGAAGAGCTGAGTTTAAACTTGGCCTTGGGCACTTATTAACTGTGCAACCCTGGGCAAGTTACTGTTTGCCTCAGTTTCTCCATCTGTAAAATGGGGATAAGAGTACCACCTACCTCCCATTTGTTGTGAGGATCAAACGAATTAGTAATTATAGCACATAGTAGGTGCTGCTTAAATGTTACCTATCATTAGCTATTACTATAGACACATGGACTCATTATTGCTTGGGGACAGTCTTGAAGGCAGATTACTTCAACTGAATATAAAGGCCTGTGACTCAGACACACTGTTCTGTGTTCTCTGCTCTTGGAATACTCACAGCAGCCCAGGGTCGTGTAGGAGCCTGGCCCAGCCCGAGTCCCTTCTGGCCACTAATCTGAGAAGTAACTTCTTCTCTGGGCCTCAGCCTTATCTGCAAAATGAAAGTAATAGGGGTGGCTAGGTGGCAGTGGATAGAGCACCAGCCCTGAAGTCAGGAGGACCTGAGTTCAAATTCGGCCCCAGAGCAAACACTTGATACTTACTGGCTGTGTGACCCTAGGCAAGTCACTTAACCCCAATTGCCTAAAAACAAACCAAAAAAAATGAAAGTAATAATAACCTTCCATCCTCTCCAATGATGAAACTGAAAGGGGAGAACACAAACCACTATACAATGCTGCTTTGGGTGCTGCAGAGTGTTGGGGTATCTCTGCCACTTGCCTAGCTTCTCCGGAGTTTGAGACCACAGAAAGTGATAGAGGGAGGTAGTTCTCCATCTCCACTCCCAATGGAGTAGAAAGAGCCCTGAACTGAGAGTCAAGAAACCTGAGTTCCAACCTTAGTTCTGGGAGGGAGATGATATGTGATTTTGGAGAATTCTCTGGGCCCAAATTTCTTCACTTTTAAAATAACTACGTGTTCCCTAATTCCATTTTCTCTGACATTCTTTCGTTCTCTGGACTTCAGTTTCCTCTATGGTCCCTCCCTCCACCTCCCACCCCACTTACAGGCCTGTTGTAAGGGAGGACCTTTGTAAAATGAAGCAATGTGGAACTCTGATGTGTTAGGGTCTTCTCTTTGATGGACCGAGGAGCAGGGAGGGTGTTGGAACCATGGACCTGTTGGGTGAAGAATTGAGTCTGCAGGGGCCCAAAGATATTGGAGAAGCCTCTGCCAGGCTTCGGCGAAGTCAGTGTATTCCTGGAACAAAGCTCTCTGAGACTGAGCACTTTCTGGATCATGAGCCCTAGCTCAGTTGTGAGGCTGGGGTGGGTGGGGGTTGCACTGTGGTGGGGGCGGGGAACGAGGATAGAGCCAGCACTGCGTATGGCCAGGACTGGGATCCCCAGACAGAGCCAGGACCAAAGTGGGATTAGGATTGTCAGGGATGGAGACAAAATAGGACCAGATACTGGGATAGATTCAGGACCCAAGTCAAGGATCATTGGGTCATAATCAGCATAATCAGAGGCTCTGGAAGTGGAGGGGACTTAGGGACCACTTAGTCCAACCCCTTTGTTTTACAGATGAGGAAACTGAGGCCCACAATCTTAAATAACTGACCCAAGATCACTAAAGTAGTAAGTGGCTGAGCAGGGACACTGCAGGAGGAGGTCCAACTGGGATCAGGATGAGGTTGGAGCCCTGCTAGGATTAGCGTGACTCTAGGGTGGGATAGCATCTTAGCTAAGGTTGGAAGTGAGCTGGAAGAGCTGTGTTCTAAACCTCCCTATGCCACAGTTATGTGGCTTGGTCTTTGACCTTCTTCCTTTGCTGGGAAAGGCACACCTAGGGACTTGAGCCAGAAGTGGGAAGCCACCGACTTTTCTAGGCACAGATGGACAATATCCTGTGTCTGAGTCATCCTTTCCATTCTGTACCTTCCCTCTCACCCAATATCCCTAAAGCCCCCTAAAGCAATCCCAGGGCTGCTGGGGAGGACCCTTTGGCTCTGTCCAACTTTGGGGCCAGGTTGGGAATGGGCAGGGTGGGGTGGAGGTGGGAGGTGGCAGATGTGGAGAGGAGATCTCACCACAGCGTCAAACCTGGTGGTGGTTTCAGCCTCCTCCCTCCAGGGTGGTAACCATGGACATTAGGACTGGAAGAGACCTTGGGACTTAGTCCAGTCTGCTGAGAGCTCTGTGGGAAGGATGTACTGAGGCTTGGCTATAATCCAGGGTGGAGTCTTTCCAGCTTTCCCCCATTTCCTGAGGCTAACCTGGTTTCAGTCCTCCTAAAGACTGACTGAGGGAGAGCTGTTCTTTCTTTCACAAATAAAGATAAGGAGGAAGCTTCTCCTAGTCCTTAACCGAGGGGTGACATGAGCATGAGGGTGAGTGTGAAAGCCTGGTGATCACAGCAGAACACAAGTGCTAAAGGAAGGCCCAGAATCCACATTCCTCCTGATGCAGGAAACACTCTTTGGGCATTTAAAGCCCATCCTCTAAGAGATAGTGGGAAGCTCACTGGCTCTATAGTCCATGGGCTTGGGTTCAAATCCTCCCTTTTACTCACTACCTGTGTGACGTTGGGCAAGTTGCTAAACCTCTCTGGGTCTCTGTTTCCTCCAATATAAAATAAGAGGGGTGGGCTAGATGGGCTCTCAGGTCCCTTGCTTTTTGCGATCAATACACATTATTTTCCTTTACATATTTTCCATATCTTCCATGCACAGACTCTCCTCCATGTCTGGAACACACTCCCTCGTTTCTGTTTCTTTTTGTGGTTGTTGGTTTTGTTTTTTTTGGCTAGGCAATGGGGTTAAGTGACTTGCCCAGGGTCACACAGCTAGTAAGTGTCAAGTGTCTGAGGCTGGATTTGAACTCAGGTCCTCCTGACTCCAAGACTGGTGCTCTATCCACTGTGCCACCTAGCACTGTGCCACTCCCTCATTTCTATATCTTAGAAAACCAAGCATCTTTGAAGACTCAGTTCAAGTGCTACCTTGCTCATGAGGCCTATCCTGATGCTCCCTCCTTCTTTCCCTCCCCACCACCCCATTGTTAGTTGTGGTTCAGTCTTTTCAGTCATGTCTGACTCTTCGTGACCTCATTTGGGGTCTTCTTGGCAAAGATACTGTAATAGTTTACCATTTCCTTCTCTAGCTCATTTGACAGATGAGCAAACTGAGGCAAACAGGGTAAGGGACTTGCCCAGGGTCACACAGCTAGTGAGTGTCTGAGGTCAGATTTAAACTTGGGAAGATGAGTCTTCCCCACTCCAGGCCAGGCACTCTACACACCAAACCACCTAGCTGTCCCCTGTCGTTAATACCTTCATGATAAAAGAACCAAATCACTTTGTAATTTTTATATTTGCATTATTTGTATATATTTTTAATTGACTTATCTGTGTACATATTTCCCCTGGTAGAATGTAAGCTTCTTGAGTGGAGGGACCATTTCATTTTTGTCTTTGAATCTCCAGTGCCAAGTTCAATGACTAGCACATAGCCAGCATTTAATAAATGATTAATTAATTGATTAATAGGAGGTAGTTACAAAAAATAGAGGGCAGCCTAGGTGGCTCAGTGGATAGAGTGCCATTCCTGGAGTTAGGAAGATTCACCTTCCTGAGTTCAGACACTTACCAGCTGTGTGACCCTGGGCAAGTCACTTAACCATGTTTGCCTCAGTTTTTTCATCTGTCAAATGAGTTGGAAAAAGAAATGGCAAACTATTCCAGTATCTTTGCTAAGAAAACCCCAAATTGGGTCACAAAGAGTAAGACACGACTGAAAAACGATTGAACTGAACAAAAAATGGAGGCTAGAATCCTCATTCCCAGAACAGCTTTCTTACCCCACAATCCACGTTGAACTGTGGCTGGATTAAGAAACAGGTGTTAGTCACCCTTAGCCAGGGCCAGCCCTGGGGCAAAGATGTGAATAGGCAGTCTGTCTTCACACCTTCTCCACTGCTTCTTTTAGCTCCTTGTCCTCTGGATTTCCTCCCTCCAGCTCCTAGCCCCTGCCCAAAGTCAACCCTCCTCCCCATGCTATGCACAATGGGCTTGGAATAACTGAAAAAAGGTAATACATATATATGTAATTTATTTGGTCTACAAAAGTTGTATCCCCCAGTAGAATGTAAGCTTTTTGAGAGCAGGAATCATTCATATTTGTCTTTTACCTCCCCAGCGGCTGGCCCAAAGAAGGCACTTAATAAACATTTGTTTAATTGAATTGCATGCTGGTTAAGTCCTTGCTCTCGGCAAAGTGTTATCATTCAGTTGAAAGAAAACTGGATTTGGAGGAAAAAGGACTTGGGTTTGTACTTCACCCAGATCAGCTACTTTCTACTGGGGTAGGCAGTGAGAGGTATCCAGGGTTGGGGATCCAGGGAGGGGAAGTTGGGCAGTTATTTTCCCTCTCTGTCTCTCAGTTGTCTCATCTGTTAAGATCAGGATACTAATGATGTTTGCACCAGTGACCTCCTAAGGTTGTTGTGATGATCAAAAAGATATCATTTGGGAAAGACCCTGTCGGTGGCAAAGATTGTTAAGAGCTGATTAAGAAGGAAAAAGTACTAGGTATTAGGGCTCCCAGGTGCTTTGCATTTTAA